TTCACGCTCACTCCCGTCCATTTACTCAAAATCGTAAACTCCCCATCGTTCTCTGTCTCAAGTCACAACCTCACTCTTCTCATTCAAGTCTTCAAATCATATTTCTCTCACTCTAAAAAAAAGCATCGGTCACCACCATTTATTTTCCTTCTCCGCCACCTACCGCTATCGCACCACCATCTCTACTATCATCACCGTTTATTCGAGGCAAGGCTCCGTGAATCCCTCCTACTTTTCTCCATCTTTTTCTTTCAATTGTAGTTGATAAGGGCCAGAATGAATTCTTCGAATCATCGGCTAGGGTTTATACGTTTTTTTAAGAATTCGTCAGTATCAATGAACATCATCATCGGGTATCATAATCCTATCCAAATTCAATATCGATACAGTAGGGTTTCTGCTTCATATACACGACAACCATCTCTTATTCTGAAATTTTGATTTTTCTGGATTTCAAAATTTACTTGATTTTGGGTTGTTGAAGGTATTCCCGATGTATACACATCTTCACTTCTACCATATATATATATATATATATATATATATATATATATATATATATATATATATATATATATATATATAGGAGTGGTTTCATGAGAACCCCAAAAGATTAAGAACTCTGAAAACTCCATTTTATAGTTATTAAATATGTGAATGCTTAATAAACATATAAAAATCCTAATTTTTTAGTGTTTTTTCTTAAAAAATGGAAAATTCATAATTTTTACAATTTAGTATTTTCATTCATAATTTATTACTATATATAGAATATAAATTATATAATTTAATATAGTCTATTTACAGTTGAATTCACAAAATTCACAATTTAATACAATATATTTTACCATAATTTAAAATTTCAAAAGAGTTAAATAAAGTTTATCATCACCACCCACTACAATACGCTGCCACCAATCTCATGTGTCACCATTGCAACCATCATTCCTTCAAAATCATATCTGTATGTATATAAAATCATATATTCATCGATTAAATACTTTATTCACAGTTTAATAAAATATTAATTCATTTATTTAGATTTAATGTAAAACAATTATAAAACTACTACATTCTTACATATTTATACAATACAGAAAATTAATATATTTACAAGAAAATTAATACAAAATTCAAACATAAATAATTCATATTTTAACACAAATTTTATAAAAAATTCACAGCTTAATATAATTCACAGTTTCACACAGTTAGTTTAAAACTTAATACAGTTAGTTTCCAACTTAATACAGTGAATTCATAATTTAATACAGTCGATTCACAACTTAATATAATGAATTCACAATTTAATATACAAAATTCACCGTTTAATATAATAATTTCACAATTTAAATTGTGTATTATACACTATAGTAAATTCATAGTTTAATTTTGTCTATTCACAATTTAATTTAGTCTAGTTACAATTTTTTATGACCAACAACATCATAGAGGATAGAAGTAAAAACCTACAATATTATTTGAAAATTTAATTCATTCGTACGCAATTTAACATAAAAATTATATTAAAATCACAATTTAATATATCAAATTCACAGTTTCATTCAGCCTATTTATAGTTTAATTTACAAATTCACAACTTAATGTAGTATATTCACATCTAATTCAATATATTCACAATTTAATACATATTTCATCAAATATGAAGCTCTTACCATGCTACAATAATCATATATGGATTAAAAAAAATCATAGTTTAGTATACTATTTTGTTTATATTTCACAATTTAAAAAATTAGTTCACACTCAATCATAACTTAAAAGATTATTTCAGACATGCATTCACAACTTAACAGACTAGTTCAAATACTCATTCATAGTATTCACAGCTGAAAACATAGATCTTTTCATTGAGACATTTCATCAAACACCTTGTGTGCATGTTGTTTTTAGAAATTAGTTTTCAGAAATCAAAAAGAAAGAGAGCAAAGAAGGGAGGCGACAACAGAAGATGAGTTCTTATTAAAAAAAATAACCAGATCTTACCATAAAACATCATAAGATGGTGGAACCACCACCAGCCACCAAAGAAGACGAGTTTTTGTTATTTCTTGATAAATCTGACAACAAAAAACTTTTTTGGCTTCAGATATGCTCCGGTGTAGTCGGTTGCCGGCTCTGAGCTTGTAATAGTATAGATCATCATGAAAGCAGATCTGAAGCAATGTGAAGGCGGTGTTTGGAGGAGAAAATGACGGCTGTGGTGAAGCATAAGCGGAAGGATGAGGAGTTAACAGCTGGTGGAACAAATCTGATACTTGACGGCTGACGGCTGTGGTGAAGCATAAGCGGAAGGATGAGGAGTTAACAGCTGGTGGAACAAATCTGATACCTGAGGTGTTTCTGGTGGTGTTTGTGGCGGAGCAGATGCGAGAGGAGTAAAATGAAGTCGCGAAAATCACAGATCTAGAATATCTAATGCAACGATGGTCGGAAAATCACAGATCTGGAATATCTAATGCAATGGAGATCATACATTTGTACCAGAGCTCTCAGATCTGAACGTCGGTTGTAGCAGAAATCATAGATCTGAACCTAAGATTGCAGATCTGGAGGACGGAATGTCAGATCTGGACGGCGGAATGTTGGATATGGTGGTTGACGATGAGCAGCGCCGATTGTGTAAGGTTCTAGAGGCGACGATCAGAGGTTGTTTGTAGTGGCGCTACTGTTCAGTCGGAGAAGTCATCAGAAAGAGAAGACTACGGCGGTGGTAGGTAGCGGATGAAGTCAAGCTTCAGATCTGAGAGCTTGGAGATGGTGCTGGTGAGTTTGGTCAGCGATCTGAGGTGGTGGTAGAGTTGCAACATTTGAGGGAGGCGACGATTCTAGATGGTTGCAGTGGTGTGTGGCGGAGGTAGGTGGTGGCAATCGGTGGTAGAGTTGGTGTTGAAGTTTATGAGTTCTTGAAGATTCATGAGAGTTTTGAAAAAGTTTGAGAAAGTTTGAAAGTTTTTTTGAAGTTTGAGTGTATATGTTTAATGGGTGTAATGTTATGAATGTATTTGAAAAAAATACCCTTAATGAAATGGTTCTTAGGGGTTCTTAATCTTTTTTGGTTCTCATTTGAACCTTTACCTATATATATATATATATATATATATATATATTATATATATATATATATATATATATATATATATATATATATATGGGCGTTGATTCTTCCAAGGAAGAATTTGATTAAGCCAATGAAATTACAGATTCAATTACAAGTATACCCTTGTTTAGATATATAGGAGATTTTAATTCCGTTTTTAGTTCATCCGATTTTTCATAAAGCAATTGTACCAAAAATAAGAAATTGACATTTTATAAACCCAACTTCTTTTTCCTTTGAGGTATTGACATTTTACGGCCCCCGTCTTTTTTCTTTTCCTTTGTTCTTCCTTTATTGTTAACACCAATGTATTTTTTTACAATAAATCCATCAGCTTAATATATATATATATATATATATATATATATATATATATATATATATATATATATATATTGCCGTTATTTACACCACCAAGTTTTTTAAAGATGATATAAACATATTAATCAGATAAAACTATTACGCAGTCAAAAACTTAATAAAAAAAATTGACTGAATTCTAATACGCGATACCTTTTAAAATTTTAGTTTGTATCGCCACAAACACTAAAATCTTTATCTTCTATCTTTGTCGTCCAAATAAACAATGAAGTATTTATTAATATTAGTTATATAAGTGATGAGAACACAATATTTGTGCTTCTTAGATGAGAAGTCTCAATTTCAAAAGCTCGGGTTTTCAATCACTTGATTTAAAAGTGTATCCAACCTTTTCATTTAACCGGTTTTTGGCTTAGAACAGATAACAAAAAATCGGTTTTCGGTTTTTAAAATATTTGATTCCTAACCGTCAGTTCATTTTTCTCAAAACATGTTTTTAACAAAACCGGTTTAGTTTTTTCATAACGGTTTCAAAAAACGGGTTCATTCTGTACACTAAAATTATGAGTCTAATGACAATTAAACCCATATTTATATATATGGTGAATTTTAATATTTTTTGGACTGTTTCTTCTTACGTCAATTTTACTAAAAATAATATATTGACAATTTATATCCCTTCTCCAATTGTTTTTTTTTTCCTTTGTTGTTTTCACTACTCATGTGTGGAGGTGTACAGAATGAACCCGTTTTCCTGAAACTGGTACGAAAAAACTAAACCAGTTTTGTTAAAAACATGTTTTGAGAAAACTGAACCAACGATTAGGAATCAGATATTTTAAAAACCGAAAACCGATTCCTTTTACCTATTTTAAGCCGAAACCGGTTAAGTGGAAAGTTGGATACACTTTTAAATCAAGTGCTTGAAAACCCTGAGATTTTGAACTTGAGACTTCTCATATAAGAAGCACAAACCTTGCGTTCTCATCACTTATATGGCTAATATTATCAAATACTTCATTGCTTAATTGTAAATACTTGAAATAACTTAAACACGGGGGTATATTTTCTAAATAAATCAAGGGACAATTTAGGTATAACATAATTTAGATCCCATTATATTCTCTCTCTCTCTCTCTCTCTCTCTCTCTATCCCCTCCTTCATCCGCTTCCAGCCATTGATACTCCCTCATCTCCAAATCATCGACGAAGAATCGAAGAACTAATAGATTGACGTTGTGCTATGTCAACAGATCGATCACATTCTCTTCATGTCGTCTCAGTCGTCTCCACCATCCCTCCATCCCTTCAACTATTGATCTGCAATTTCACGCGACCTAAATATGGCTACTCTACATTCGACGGTTGAAAATATTGGTCATTGATATGTAACTAAGAAGAAGTCTTCCTAATTTGGACCTGATATCGATAAGCTTCAACTCCTTGCAAGGTATTTCTAATTTCTTCAACTCAATAAGCATTCTTCCTCTTTAATGGATTCCTTTGATTCAGTTGCTCCTGTTGCTAGGGTTTCTTACGTTCTGATTATCTAGCAGAAATGGAGGCATCGTTGGCGAGAAGAAAAGGTACAACCATTGCCGACCTCGGCTAGGGTTTAGAAATGCTTTCTAGCAAGGCAGTGTAACACGTTAATGTTTTTCAGTATGTTTTTTTTTCTATAAAGTTGATTCGATTGGTGGTTGTGATGAAAGAAAAAAATTCCTTTGAATACACTTACGTTTCAGCATTTCTATTGGAATTCAAGGGAAAGTTTAATCAAATCATAGATGTCTAAAAATTCCTCCCATTCTTGTGATATAGATTCCTCTCTACCAACGTTGTTACAATAACACGATATTATTCATCACTGCATTACGACTTCAAAATAACCATCTTCCCATCTTCTTCATTGGTAATCTCAGATCCATCGCTCATCCTTGTAAACAGATGCCAATTTGGATCTTCAATCAGATGCTTTTACAGTGATGCGAACTTCGTTTCACTCTCCTTCTTCTTTTCACTAGAATTGCATCCAACAAAGAACGGGTTTGAATCCACCAACCCCATTCTCTTTGTTCCTATGACACCACCGATTGGGTACGTCTTCAAACCCTAATTTAATAACACCAAAATTAATGATTGATATCTTATCTAATTATCAAATTGTTACAATTTATAACTCCTTACGACTTCGTACATCAATGAGTTCCCAACGATCTTCTTGCAATTCCTCATTTTTTGTCTCTATAGTTGAACGAAAAAAGTTTTCCTCGTGTTTCTTTTCTTCAATTTGTTCATTCTTCTGTATCAATTTGATCTGTAAATCTTCATCTGTTCTTGAAGGTCTATACAGTCATCATCTTGTATAGCCTGCAATGTAGTTTCAAGTTGTGTAATCTCACTTTTCTAGACTTTCATAATTTTCAGCTTTTAGTTGGGATTCCGGTTCAGCTCTTCTCTTTTGAAGGATCACCAGTTCATCCTGAAAAATATAGTTATATATCATATTAACTCCATTTCTGAAATTCTAACAAATTAAATATGGTCATGTGTTTTTTGGAATAAATTTCCGTTACACCCTCCAATAGTCTCCTAGAAATGCAGCTTTCGTTCAACAGTTGTTTGCAGGATGACAATCTCTCTCACTAATTTACATGATTACATGAGTAATCAAGAAAACATTAATACATGATCCATCAAGTAAATTAACACAAGAAATTAGTTAACAAGATTCATATTGTGTGTATACCACTCTCTTCTTGAGTTCTTGCTTTGATTTTTCCTTTTGAATCTTGAGTTCTTTTTTTTGTTATTTCATATTCTTGTTGTTGCAGAGATTTTCCTGAGGCTTCCATTTGAGGTAATATGTGATTCCATGAATCCATCGTTTTCTTTGAAAGGCGGATTCGTGTTATTCATTGTGTACTAATTTGAATTGAATCAATATCTTAAATTCATGTTCTCATTGTTACACAAATTAATAATTTCATTTCCAGGAACACCTTGTAAAAACTTCCAGTGGATTTGTTTCTGTTGCCATATATGGAGATCAAGAGAAGCCAGTTCTTATTACATATCCTGATTTAGCTTTAAATCGTAAGTGATTCTGTTTTTCATTCGTTAATCAACAAAATTTGTTGAAAATAAATGAAATCTTGCTTATTTGTTTGCATGTTTGAACATATATGTCATGTTTCCAAGGTCTTTTCTTATGACCTGAAGCATTTTCTTTACTGATTCATAATTCTGCATTTACCATATTAGCCCCCCGGCCATGAGGTCAGCAATAAAAACTTCATTTTTATTTATTTATTATTATTATTTAAATATATAAACAATTCAATAGTAAAACAATTTGTATTCCTATCTTATTTTATACATCTTTAAGAGCTTTTGCAGTTGGGAGCTGCAGCAATGTCATATAATGATCCATTGTTATCTGTTGATGACTTAGCTGATCTGGTTGCTGAGGTTCTTGACTATTTTGGGTAATTTTATAGTTTTTTAGTTTTTTAACTAATAAATGGGATATAAAGAGTCTTTTTTATTTTTATTTTTCTGATGAATTAATTTTGCAGACGTGGTGCTGATATATACATGGGAGTAACAATTGGTGCGTATGTACTCACCTTGTTTGCTGTAAGGCAAATCCTTTTTGTTTTATATATATTTCCAAAATTTATTTAAATTCTTAATTTGCAAGGTTTAATTAGTCTTTTTACATATTTTGTATAACAGATAAAATATAACACGACGTGTGCTTGGACTCATCATTGTTTCTCCTTTATGCAAAACTCCTTCATGGACAGAATGGTTGTGTAACAAGGTTAATTCTCAATGTTTTAAACTTATGTTCTCACCCTACATTCAAAATAGATTGTTTTCATACCAATAGTGATGCTCATGTGGTTGGTAGATCTGAAGATGGGCGTCTCTTTTTTGGGATCTGGTGGATACATTTGTGGTTTTTAAGTTTCCAAGCTCACTCCTTGTTGGTAAGAGATTCATTTGAAATTTTTTTGATAGAATCACATGTGATTCACATGTAATTCATATGAAAATTACATGTAATTCACATATGAATAAGATGTAATTCACATGTAAATCACAAGTTGGTCACATATGAATTACATATGATTCACATGTAAATCACAATTACACATGATTCACATGTAATTCACATATGAATCACATGTGATTCACACGTAAATCACATATGAATCACATGTGATTCACATGTAAATCACAATTACACGTGATTCACATGTAAATCACATGTAATTCACATATGAATAACCTGTAATTCACATGTAAATCACAAGTTGGTCACATATAATTCACAGGTAAATCACATTTACACGTGATTCACATGTAAATCACATGTAATTCACAAGTGATTCACACGTAAATCACATATGATTCACACGTAAATCACATGCAATTTACATGTAAATCATATGTGATTCACATGTAAATCACATGTGACTCATATGTAAATCGCATGTGATTTATATATGATGTCATATGTAAATGTGATTCATATGTGAATCGCATATGATTCATATGTGAATCGCATGTGATTCATATGTTAATCACATGAAAGTCACATATGTATTTTGTGAGTGTTTTTTACATCAATCATTTTGTTTTTTAATTTTCTTGTAGATTTGGAAGAAATTGTAGTGAATATTGAAGAGGTGAAAAATGATAAATTGAAGAAAATAAGGAAATATTGACACGAATACATGAAAACGCTTTGAAATTTGTAGCATTTTTTATTTTTTATATTTTATTTTGTATCGAATAAAATACTTGTACTATTATGTTTATAGATTAATTAATAACATGATATTTTTTGTGATTTACTTACGAATAATATAGTATAAGAAATATACATATATGCATTTGAAAAAATATACCTATGCACCTAAAAATTTACTTTTGTAAAAAAAATACAGTTTTTTTTTGAAAAATTGCAGTTTTTTTTATAAAAATGTAACTTTCTTAAAAAAATTGCATTTTTTTTTGAAAAAATTGCAATTTTTTTTGAAAAAATGCAGCTTTTTTGAAAAAATTATTTTTTTTTTGAAAAAAATGCAATTTTCTTTAGAAAAACTGCTATTTTTTTGAAAAAAAAATGCAGTTTTTTTTAAATTGCAGTTTTTTAAAAAATAATATTTTTTTCAATTTTTTTCAAAAATTCATGTTTTCTATAAAAAATTAAAAAATCTGCATTAAAAAAAAACGAAAAATACTATATTGAAAAAAATCTGAAAATTTGATTTATGATGTAATTTTTTAGACATTTATATTAATATATTAAATAACACAAAAAAATTAAACATTAAATGAGATTGGTAAGATGACGATCATGTCTTTAATGAATTACTTTTGATCCAACGCTCCACTTTTAGTTCTCGGGTTCTCGGGAAAATATGAGTTCTCAACCGATCTCACCTCTACATATATATATATATATATATATATATATATATATATATATATATATATATATATATAGATATATATAAGTTCAATTGAGAAAATAAAAAAGGTTGAGAATTGGGTAATCATTCTCAGTCACTCATTTATTTTTGCCGCAAAAGCGTCCATCGTACCGACATAAATGGGGAAGGAATACACATGTGTTTTCCAACAAAACATGTTTCCTTAAACTATGCTAATCATTACCTTAATATATACAAAAACATTGTTTTTTTACGTTTTTTTAATTTTTAAGGACCTATTTTTATCGAAAAATGATTTTAAATATATCAAAATTCATAATTTTTTATTCTCTACAAATAGACATCCATATTGATATAGTTTTAAGATAAATTAAACACTTTATTTTTTTATAGTTTCAGCTATCGTTATTCATAAGTGAATAGAAATGCATCAGATTTTTACTACAATATATTCGTTATTCACTTATGAATAAAATATATATATATATATATATATATATATATATATATATATATATATATATATTTTACAGTTTAACTATCATTTATACTACTTATTCATATATGAATAACAAATTAACTGTAACAAAAATCTGATATATGTTTTATTCATATATGAATATAAAATATGACGACAACTAATACACGTTTTATTCATATATAAATATAATATATGATGAAAGATGATGTAAAAAATATATTTTAAGTAAGAAACTTTATTACGTGTTATATTCATATATGAACGATACTCAAACTATAAAAAAAAAAGTTAAGCATATCTTTTATTCATAAATGAATAACGAATGTATTGTAATAAAAATATGATGGATTTTTATTCACTTATGAATAACGAGAGCTGAAACTCTAAAAAAATAAATTTTTTATTTTATCTTAAAACTATATCAATATGAATGTCTATTTATAGAGATTAAAAAATTATGAATTTTGATATATTTAATATAATTTTTCGATAAAAATTGTTTTATAAAAATAAAAAAAACGAAAAAAAGTTTGTTTTTGAGTATATATATTAAGGTAATGATTACCATAGTTTAAGGAAAAATATTTCGTTAGAAAACACATGTCTATCCGTTATCCATTTCCGCCGATACGCCTAAGTGTTTTGCGGCAAAATAAATGTGTGGCTGAGAATGATTCTCTCATTCTCAACCTTTTTTTTCTCAATTGAACTCTCACTCTCTCTGTCTCTCTCTCTCTCTCTCTCTGTGTCTCTTTATATATATATATATATATATATATATATATATATATATATATATATATATCTATATATATATATATATATATAGGCTTAGGTTATTCTATTCAAAGTAATTATTGTGTTATTGTATGCATAAATGTGGGTCAATCAATTTTACTTATTTTAAGAAAGTGAATAATATATATTATTAAATTAAAGATAATTAGAAAATACCATTTAATTTCATTTTAAGGGTATTTTAGTCAATTAACATAATTTTAAAAAAGGAAAATCGCATATTTTAAGGGATAATAGATTCTGTTAATTTTAAAAATCTGATTGTAGTGATGATAATTCTCGGATATTCTGACAGAATATATTTATCAAAAATAAAAATATTCTTGAACCATAAAATAATAAAAATATTTTTGAACCTATTTCTTGATCATAAATTTAAAAACTTCTAGGAGAATATAACAAATTCTTAAACCATCAACTGAAGAATAAAAACAAACATTACATTAATTCGTATAGAATACGGGTAACAATTGCTAAGAATTACATTTATTGTTAAAGAATAGAACTACAAAAACTTTCAAATCGGGAAAAAAAAACATCAAAATCTAACCAAGACACTAATACATTCTAAAAGAATAATGTTGATAAGAATCACTTTCATTTTCATGGTCCATTCTTCAAGCATCAGCTGCTTCTGTGGAAACAAATCCAATGCACAAATCAGTGAGAAAATATCCATATTCCATTCCAACAGAATTGGAATTCGTGATTCCATTCTGATAGAATTGAAATTCAAGATTCAGTTACGGTATGCATTCTGTTGGAAAAATATCCAAAGTAAAAAACAATTTAATGAGAATGATACTATTAGACATTCCAACATAGAAACTCGTTCATTTTCATCAACAACATCTAACTCTCCAAGTTCAGAAATTAGTTGATTTTGGCTCTCAACCACCTATAGAAGTAAAATCCCAATTTAAGGTGCTGTTTGTTTTTTATACTCATGACGAAAATATCCCTACAACACAATATTCATCAAATTCATAGAATTCGCCCAAAGTGTTCACAACATCAACTAATCACGACCAAAGTGTTCACAACACTAAAGAGAGTACTATAACATAGCCATTGTTTTGAAACCCAAATATTTCAGTAACCCAACTAAAAACTCAACTCATGTGTTAACAAAACAAATTATGTTTACCTGTGGGCGAGTTTTCTTGATAGGATCTGGATACAAGAAACAAAAAGATTAGAACTTTATCAATCAAGATTCTGAACAGTCAATCTACATTGACAAATAAAAGATTTCAAACAATAAGCTAAAAGAATACAACTTTATCGATCTAAGATTATGAACTCCAAAAAGTACAAACAGAAAACCACAGACCAACAAACGTAAATCCCAATGGAAATAGAGAAATCAGCATTCGTGAACTACAAGAATTCAAGCCAATTTTGAATTTTTGTGTTAACAAAACAAATTATGTTTACCTGTGGGCGGCGATGTGGGCGGCGACAGGAGATGGATAAGCGCCGATGTCGGTTGTGGAGCAGTACCGATGGTGGTCGTGGAGTATCGCAGTAAGTGGATGAAGCATCGGTGGTCGACTAGTCAGGCGATGATCGATGAAGCGGGGATGGATCGGCAATGGAGAGTAGGAGCGCCGGTAGAAGGTTCGCCGCCACAGATGGAGCAGCAACGGCGAAAGCTTGCCTCGCCTGAGATGGAGCAGCATCGACGATGGAAGGAGGCAAGGGAATCAAGATGGATTTGAAGCAAGGAACGACGGTGAATAGGGTATTGTTCACGGCGTTCGCGAGAAGACGATAGATAGATGATAAGTTAGGTTAGGTTAGCGTCGGGTGGAAGATTGAGGAAGACACGCTTATTTATTTAGGTTAAAAGTCAATATCATGATTATAGGGATTATTTTTGGAAGTTACAAAACAAATTACTAAATTACCCTTATTTATTTATTTAATTATTTAATTTTTTATTTAATTTTGATTGGTCCACATTTAAGCATACAATAACACAACAATTACTTTAAATACCTGAACCTAGCTCTCTCTCTATATATATATATATATATATATATATATATATATATATATATATATGTGTGTGT